GTTCATACTGATGATTGTCTAATTTTGTTCTTTTTTTTTTTTTTTTTTTTTGTCACAATTGTTTAAAGAAAAAAAGTAAATATTATCACCTACGGGAATAATTTCCTGGCGCAATTTTTTTTTTTTTTTTTTTTTTTTTTTTTTTTTTTTTTTTGCGCGTCTGTGCGCCCGTATACGTCACGGTAGAGTCACCAACATATCTATACTGTGCTCTTATGCACCCCCTTCCTGGGCACATATATAACGAAAAAACGAATTAAATTTTTTAACGCCTTTTGTTTAGTTGAGAACGCGTAACGATGTTATCATTAGGGAAGAAGGGAGGCTTCAAAATGAATAATTTTTTGTTTTTTTTTTTTTTTTTAAATGAATTTGCAACTGGTCAAACAACTGCACACACCAGTACAACACCCGTTTTGGTAGCGGTTGTTCGGTGGGTTGGCAGTGGGGGCAGTTGTTCTGACCAGTTGCAAACTCATTTAAAAAAAAAAAAAAAAAGTGAATAACTGGTCAAATAGCAAAACAAAAGAAACATGCATATGGGGGTAGCGTCGAATTAATGTGCCAATGCGCCTCTTTTTCTCATCGGCCTTTTTTTTTTTTTTTTTTTTTTTTATTGCTGCGGTTGATGCCTCCTCCTTGGTTGTGTTGCCATATATTAATAGAGCTTTTGTTCTACCCAAGGAAGAGGTATACATATACCTTTTACGTGACCTTTACAACTAATTCTATCTTTCAATTTGTGATGACCTTTTGTTTTCGCCTGTACATATTGGCAAAACAGTGTGGATAAAACAAAAAATAAAATAAAATAAAAAAGTACCATTTCCAGCTAGCCAAAAAGGAGGCGGAAAAAAAAAAAAAAAAAAAAAAAAGGACAACTTTGGTGTACATTCGGGTAAACACTTACAAAGGAGAAAAACATTTGAACTGAACACATTTTTGACGAGAGCTTGCTTCTTATGAACTTTGGGATGAGTTCAAGCCCTGCATAGAGGCCGATAAATCTAACGAGTATTTCCCTTTTACCTTAGCAAATGTTTTCGTTCTGCCCTCAATTAGCACAACCGTGAGCATATGTGCGAGATTGAGGAGTAGCATCACATGCTCTCTATGTGGGGATTAACCCTAGTTGCAGGTTTTAATTCATTTTAGTGTCGCTGTTCGAATTAGTTTTGCCTTTCCATCATTTGGTGCAGTGGAAGCTTTTATTTGTGTAAGGAGTCCTTCCATGCCTGCTTTTCGCTTTTCGCATGTTTCCCTTTTTTCGTTTTTGCGCGTCCTCGTCAGTGGTACTCCGACACACATTAGGACAAATCCCTTTTGCGAAACGTCGAGAGATTTTCTCTTTGGCGGAGGGCAAAAAAAGGGAAGAATGTATGAGAACGTGGTTTACACAAAATTGGCACGTCGGTGTGTATACACACATCCTCTACACCACAGGGGGGGGGGGGGTATAATAAATAAAATGATACAAAAAGGGGGTGTCTCGTTTTCCCTGTCCTCTTTATCATCTTTTTTGCGCGAAGCGGAATAATATAAATGGTGGCCCTCAACACGGTAAAAATTTGAAATTCGTTAAGCGCCGCAATAGGGGGGGAGAAGAGCGGCTATATATATAAAGCGCTTGGTAGATTGGCCACATAGGAGGCTACAGAGAGACGGAAAAAAGGAGAGAAACGCCCCTTTAGTATATTTCTGTGTTCGTTACTCGTTAATATTGGAAACCTTTAGCGACAAAGAAATTTTCGATGGGATTCCTTTTCTCCCCCCAAGTAGTTTTTAAATTTAATCCTGATGTAGGGGAAAGTGGAAAGGTTTACCCATGTTACCATTTCCGCGGGCTACATGCAGAAAAGAATTTTCTCCTTTTGGCCGCTCCAAAAAGGAGCAGTTGCCTCCATCGCTGGAGAGGGTTAAAAAATGTTGCGTGTGAATGTTAGAATAGATATTAGTGCGCATAAAAAAAAAATAATAAAAAATAATATTTGCAACGTGGCTCATATATAAAGCCTTATAATGACTGGTGGAATGTATATTTCACCCAACGGAAATCACCACCCATTTAGGGGACCTCACCCTCCCTCCATGTGAATGTGCACGAGGGAGGTGTAAAATATATTTAGTGTAACACGAGAATGCGCAGTGATTTCCCCCCAACGCACAATGAGCAAAATCAGTGACGAGGATACCCACTCAGACAGTACGGTGGAGGAAACTCTGGTGATGCTAAACCTTCCACAGCTAAACAGCGATGAAAGAAAATTGAAAAATCTCAACATTTTTCGAAAGAAAAAAGGAGATAAAATTTATATAGAAAATGAACGGGGGGTGAAGAAAAAGGAAAATCATTCAAAGGGGAAACTCAACGATGCAGCGAAGGGTGATCGACTGGGGAGTCAACAAAGTATTAATATTGACTTAACGAATGATGAGGAACAAGAGCGTCTAGGGCATGTCCTCATAAGTTCGGATGGTTCGCAGGAAGGAGCGCCATCGCCACGGAGGAGCTCGCAAGGTGGGAAGAACAAACATAAGGGGCAAAAAAAGGTGCCAAAAAATGGGCGGCAGAAAAATGAGGGACCCCAAGATAGCGCTTACCCAAAGGACGCATCCCCGAAGCACGCGCGTGGAAACGAAGTGGATAACATCCCATTCGACATCGACACCATCTCCCTAAGGAACTTATTTGCAGAGTGCCCGGAATGCATTATAAACAATAAATACAAATTTAAGGGCATTCACACTTCGAGCATAGGGACGAATTTGTTCTTCAAGGAACCAGACAGCCTTAAAAAAAAAAAAAGCGACCTGCCGAATTATGAACTCTCGTATGATCACCTGAGCACAAACATGAAGGTCGAGAACAGAATGAGCAGAGATGACTTCACACATTATGAGGGCTACTCTACAAAAATAATATCCTTTGAAATAGACTACTAGTTGGATGGTTCTGAGAGATGGGTGGGCATTTTTTTTTTTTTTTTTTTTGTTGCGCGGTGATGATCACCACCTATTTTTCTCACTGAACCATGTAATGGGGATGACCACTCGTTAAGTATGCCCCTCACCGCGGGTGTAAAAAAAACGACACACATAAACGAAGCTTGTGTTGTGTTACATTAATTTTGCAAAGCAATGCTTTGTACTTTTTTGTGATGATGCATCAATGCATATGTGTCAAAGGTGTGACTCTGCAGACGGAGCGTCCCCTCCTTAGCATCTACCAGTTACGTGTACATTTTGAGTATGCTTAGCTGGGGAGTGATGTCCCAAATAATTTTTTTTTTTTTTCGTCTTCACCTGTTCAATTACGCGAAAGGTGTGCCGCAACGATCCTTCTCCATTTGTTCCCGTTCGGCGTGGCTAATATGGCACTGTTACGTAGATTCATTTTCACCTTTGCGAAAAAGCATGAAAAAATTGTGGATGCATTAAAAGTGAGAGGAAGCACATATGATCAAATTTTGTTGGCCATACAAAGTAGTTCTCCTAAAGTTAGTACTATTTTGGGTACCCCCATCTTTAGTGCTTAGTGCGTACCGAAGAAAAGCATACCCAAAAGGGGCATGAAAAAAAAAAAAAAAAAAAAAAAAAAAAAAAAAAAAAAA